ATATTTATGTACTAGTTGGGCAGTCTATACAATACATAATGCTGACCTCAAAACAAGTTTTTCACCTTATCTCTATGTGTCCTCCAGCTTTGCGAGCAATAGTCACCAGTTCCTTTCCATACTTTTCCTCTGCCAGTGCCCTGTGGAGTATAAATAGGCAGACAAATCATTAGAACCCAGAATGTATATTTTAGTATTTATTTGTAAAACTGAATTAGCTTATATTTAAAGTCTGTTATAACAGTCCAACATTTGCCTTGACATGCATATACCAACATTTTTACCTGAAATTTTGTTGCTACTTAAACTCTTGTTGCTCTTTTACCTAAAGGATCACTGACTTTATGTTACGTCATTCTATTCAGGCCATAACATCACAAACATGATTTTGGTGACATCTTAAGGTTTATCTTGAATTACTTATCATTATCAATTAATATATTTCAACAATCACAAATGAGTGTTAATGCAGAATATTTTCATATTTTAAGACACAGAATTAAAAGAAGAAATAGCTAAATTCTCACATCTTGTGACCTAAATGAGTCATGGGCCTGCTATCTTTCATACATGACTAGCCACATGTGGTGTTTAATGAGTGAAATGACAACTAGATAGCTATTTTTTTCTTAATGTTATGATCAAGCTGGAAGTTGATTCCATGTATGAAGTCATGTAAAGTAAAGATCATGGAAAGAGAAGCGCAGCTATGATTAAAATCACAGAACCCATGATTTTAAATTTATTTTGATTGCACAAATACAAGCTGATCCAACCTCATCTTCAATAGCTCTTCCACATCTTTGCACATTTGCCTTCCATCTCGTAACCTTTGGGTCACGGCTTCATACCCAGCGTGGCAAGTGAAGTCAGACCCCTGCATTGACGAAACACAAAAAACGAAAACTGCTGCAATAAACAGCATTTCTGAAAAAGGTGTTGCAACATGTTCTAGGCTCATTTTGTGGTAAAATGCAGAACTAGCACTTGTGTACTGCAAAGATATTTGTATGTGGCATGGCAGCGTTAGAGTTAATACACTTGGTAAACCAACCCTCTAGATCGCTTCAAGTGCACGCAGTGGTGATTCAACACGTTACAGTGTCTTTACATGTATGATGTTGATAATTGTGCATATTAAGTATTTTTTTTAAGTTGTAAAGCTTACCTTAACCCCCCCCACCCCCACTCCCACCCCATACTGCTGTGTGTCTATACTAGTATAAACTATAATCACTTGTGGTTTACCTGATTTGGCAAATTGTAACTTACAGATGACAGTTAGAGTGTAAAATATATAATGTTTTAACAAGCGATAGCTGACTGTAACGTGGTGTTTCTCGTGGTGTTTCTCGGGTTCCTAAAACAGTCTGTTCAACATAATTAATACATACTATAGTTTAGAAACTATAACAAAGCAAGTAGACAACAATACCACAAAAATATACTTACCCAGAAAGCATCCTTAAACATCAAAGGAGCCATTGTATGTTTTACTTCCTTGAACTAAGCACAACTCTTAGTGCCGACCTGACTTACAGGACATTTCTCCAAATTTAAAAGCTTACCAACAACCTTGTATGGCTGAAACGTCAGTGAGTCACTTTGAATGAGGAAGAGCTTTTGTCCCGTGATGTCACTGACCACAGACAGCTCAGCCCATTTGTGAAACGGCAACTCTTTCACTTTATGTTTGGTCTAACAGTTGTGTCAGAGCACAGCAGTTACATGTGCCTTGCTAGGTAAAGGTGTCAGTATGTCTTTGTATTGTTATGCATTGTTATGTGTTATGTGTTATGTGTTATGTGTTGCATTGCTGATGTAATCAACACTTACACAGAGACAGGCAATATGTTTAAGTGTCACATACTGTAACCAAAAGTTGATGGTTTACTTGTTGCAAGTAGCATTAGTGGTAAATCATAATTGTCTTATTTTAATTATGTTGCAGTGACATTTTTTATCAGTATTTTAAGACATTAATATTATACAATTAAATGTGCTTTAAGGTGATGTTAGACTACTTTGATTCTCTCTTTTCTTCCTTAAATCATTTACCATGTTGTTTTGCAAAATGACATAATGAAGTGCGGCAAAATTAGATAATATTATTTTTAATAATATGTCATCATCAGCATATTAACCTTCTGTCATTAGAGCTCCAGAAACTATTGTTGCCATGTACATTCCAGAGATTACCACAAGAGGGAGCCAAAAATCTTTGTAAAACATCAAGGCTTGTAATATAATACTGGCTAAATATAAGAAGTCTACTTTATGGGAATCAAACCCACCTGAATCAACAGTTCCTAAATCTGTATGGGATGTCTGACATAAAATCCCAAATCTCTCAACCCAGTTGAGATGAATACAAATCTGTGCCTCGGGCATCTCTAAGGGAAGCCACAGAGACACGTGAATGAACACATAGAAGGTTAATATTGATTTTCAAAGTGAGAAGAAGGACAGGCTGTGGCGTCTCTCACCAGTCGCTCAGTGAGATGTGTGAAAATCTTTGACTCTCTCACAAAGCTGGAAAATCATTTTGTCACACACTGAACAACATGCTAAAGGGACTGTACAAATCAATACATCTAACTCAGAATAATGGGGCTTTATTTATTTTATTGTTTTTTTTATTTGCATTGCATATGCATTTTGTTCTATAATTACTCTTTTTTATTTATCCAATTAGTGTTCTTTTTTAAATAGGTTGCATTAAAATCCCATCAACTCACTGAGTAACAGTTAATCAGTGTTTGTCATTTCTCAAAGTAATTTCTGGTACTCCTTCAGATCTGAAATGGTGGAATATCAGATACCAATGCTGACATAGATAACGAACGAAAAAGCATCCTATAAATTGACATAAAATAGTAGGAAATTACGTCAGTATTTACAATAACTTTTTTTTTCATCAGTTCCCAACCACAGAAAATTTGTATTCAGGAAATGCTGTTTTGGTTTTCATTCTGATTATTTACCAAATGCTTTAGATTAAAGCTAGCTATCAGTAGAGTGGCCATTGCGGGTTCACAGAGGAGAAAATAATTCAGTTTTCCCACTTGGAAAGCCAAAACACCTACCAGTTAGAGCGAAAATAATTCTTCCAGGCCAAGGCTCACAAGTTTTCACATCATGATGTCTGAGTCCATCATGCTTGGCCTTCGTTGTGACCCCGTTTGAAGCCTCAAATGGAGGGACAAGCCCTGGGAATCAGCTGTGCTTCCAGGGGCTGAACGCAAGCCCACACACACACACACACACACACACACACACACACACACACACACACTCACAGACACACACACACACACACACACACACACACACACACACACTTCCTACCCTTCTCTCACATGTTTTCTCTGTCTCCCTCACACTCTCCGGAGTGGTAGTTATTGAACTGTGACAAACGAGCCGTGTCAGACCAGCCCCCCTACCTGGGGGATTGGCTAAATGACCTTTCCATTACCCAACCACTGCTGTATTCCCCCTCCACAGATAGAGTTACACACATAGCCACACAGCCCATTTGCCAAAACCAGTGTCACCAGCGCTACCATGAACCATTACATCCTACCGCGCATTCTACACAAAATAAATTTTTTGTATCAAATTTCAGTACATTTTTATTTTTTGATTTTCTAGATCAATTCTGCAACAAGACTTGCAATAATTTTATATTGATTTTGTGTGTCTTCGCACTTAATAGTGGTCCAAACAGTGTGCACAGGCTGAGAGTGATGTCAGAAACTGCTTCTGCCTGGTTGCTTGGATTTGGACATATATGTAAGTCAGCTGCGCTTCTCTCTGTGCATTTTAGCCTCTCACAGGCAGAGTGGTGTGTGACTTAACTGGTTTTCACACATTCTCTATCCTCCATCTTGTTAATCCCCGGCTGACCATTGGCACCAGCCCTAAATCTCACCAGATACAGAACAGGTATAGTGAACGAAAACGGGGGAGGGTGTGAGAGTTGTTCAGTAGAAAGATTAAAAGTGGATGAGGAGTGCAGAGAAAGATGGAAAAGGATAAGCAAAGGTAATGTGAGGAAGGGGATGATGTAAAGATGAAAGAGGAAGCAGAATCAGAAGGTAAATGAGAGAGGAGTAAAAGTCAGAGAAAAAAAAGCAGGTTTGGATTGAACAGGACAAAGTAAAGTTGAAAGTTAATTTCTTCTGCCTGTTGGCTAAGAATGGAATGAAGTGAGTCCTTGGCCACATTAGTGGGAACCTGTTAGGAAGCTGACAGATGGAGGGCTAATGATGTGTAGGCGCAAGGGCAGGGCCTGTAGTTGCTAGTGAGATGATCTGTAGTGGCTGTCATAATACAGCTGAAAACTAACAGCTGAAGGAGGCAGAGGAGAATGAGAAGTGGGAGGAAGAGGAGCGAAAGGAGCAGAGTCACACCAAACCCTGAGAGTGAGCTGAGACCTTTCTCACGTTTGATCTATGTCTGGCTTTGAATGAAACATTTATTAGCTGTCCTAATCCTCAGTATTACTGCTAAGAACTCCAGCTTTAATCAATTTGATCCTCATGTGTTCTTTATTCCCCGGTGTGCTTCCCTGGACACTGAGATGAACGCAGCAAGTGCACACATGTATAAATGCACATACGTTTTTTTTGTTTGTTTGCATAAATATTTGATTAGCATTGACATCTGTTTTTCAGTGGATTGAGTGAATTTCTATACATGGATACCATATTAGTAAAAAAGAAAAGGTGCGTGAGGACTTGTTTGGATGTAGCTGTCCATTTAAGCTGATGTGTACTGGTGTTGACCCTTGCATGAGGGTTGCGTGCCATAAGCAATTCCCCCTCCACCTTATTCCTCTCCTTTCTTCCCCCCACATGGTCCCTTCAGCAGACTGGACTGTGGTGTTACCAGTGGCCATTTTTTCCGCTACAACACACCATGTCCCTCTCACCTGCCTCCCAGTCCCAGTTTTTTTTATTACTTTTTGTTTGCCTTTATTTCCTCTCCATTCCTCTCGCCTCAGTTCTTCCACCTCCACTCCCGATGTCATCGTCCTCCCTTCTTCTCTCACCTCCCTCATGCTCTCCTCTTCTTTCTCACTCCATTCCTCTTACTTTTTTTCTTCATCCAGCCTCTACATGTTCCTGGTGCTATAGTTTCTCCAGACCTTTTAATAACCCATGGTGCTTGTTTGTGCATGCAGGTGTATGTACTCGCACATTCCTGTACTTTTGCTTTTACAGTATGTGTTTATACTATGCATCCACATCTGTCCACATGTGTGTTGTGAATCTAGAAAGAGAAGGCTGCTAATTTGCTAAGTGGTTTCATCTACTGACATAGCACAGAGATTATGCTTGGCTTCACTGCCCTAATTAAGGCAAGTCAAAGTCTGATGGAGGTGAAGACAGGTGGCCACTCTGTTTTGACCAGGTCCCACCTTTGCTTTGTTGTTGCTGTTCAAAGAGACTAAAAAATGTTTTTTAGAGTGTAGCTATGTGTGTTTGCATGCATGTAGGACTGTGTCGTTTTAGTGGAAGAAAATGGGCTGCATATGTGCACGTGTGCATACCTGCACTTATCCTTTGTTTGCATTTGTTCGAAAGGTTTAAAGGGCCATAAAGTGAAAAGCACCCTGTTATTTGACAAACTGATTAAAGGTATCAAGTTTGTTTTCTTTGACATGGACTGAGTACATTCATCCTGATGCTGTCAGTTGCTGTCCTACTTCTTTAATTCAGGACATTTCAAATAAATTAAATTAGCTTCACTGGGGGAAGGGGGAATTCATTGCAAGAACTTTATTTCTTATAGTTTATTTTTTATCGTGACTTTATTTCAGCCAAGTCTAACTCGAAATATTGTGTTATCTCTTAAAATTTCAGGTTGATGTTAAGTAAGGCGTCTTAAATTTTTTATTTTACTGTCTCAAACTGAGTATTTCTATGCGAAGGTGTGTCTTCGTTTATTCAGTCTGTTAGTAAAATGATGACAAATGTCTGAAAAGCTGCAGTGAGTTGGATGTACTGCTAGAAGACTGCAAATCCCAGAACTATGTTTTAATGAATATCTTCAGGTTACTAAAAGTGGATTAGACAATAAGAGCTGAGATATTATCAGCAGAAAGAATGGAAATTAGCAAGTGTTTTGTCACCCAAGTCTAATATCCAAGTTACATTTTTAGGCTATTATATCTTCTTAAGTTGAGCTATAGCATTTTGACAGTGTGTTATGTGGTATGTGGGTAACTCAGAGAGTTGTGCATAATGTTATTGTTTGTCTCATCTACAGTACAGCTGCTTTTTGCCACATAACTAACACAGCTTTACTAATTTGTCTAATCTTACAATACACACGGTCCTTAAATAACCCTTTAAAAAACAGAAGGTCGACATTTATAGCCAGCATTGTGTTAGGGTTTCAGTCCCAACGTTCATTCATTCATTCATTCATTCATTCATTCGTTCATTCATTCATTCTCTTCTAGTGGTTAGGGTTTTCAAAGTTGTAGCTTCAATATATGAAATGAAATGATCTTTACCAACGCAGCCTATAGCAGTATTAATTTTATTAAAGAAAAAAAAGAAGAAGAACCTGTTGAAAAAATTGTAAGGCACTAAGTGATTT